GTCGGTACCATAAAAGAACCGATGTTCGGTACCCAGCCCTAATTACAATTAGAAAAACTTAAAAAACAATCCTCTGGACTTTGTTTCCAGGTTTGATGTTTGGCTTCCCATCCAGGAAGCTTTTTCAATTCAAAAATGTCAGAAATAGCGTTGAGTTTGAGGCTTTATACAGTAGCCCAATAAAGCCTTGTTTCGGCTTAGGAAACATGCAAATTGAAACGAATGAATGGGTCCGCCCCTTTGGAACTGTTTCAATTTGCATGTTTTGTAAGCTAAACCAAGTCCAGTGGATTGTTTTTCAGCTTTTTAGGAATGACTATGACCTGGATGACTGAGAATCTTCACCAGCATAATGTGTTATAAATAATAACAAATACTTGGGTTAAAGTAATGCAGTGCTGTTTCAACATTCAGAGTTCCCAAACTACTTTTTCCATACACTGTGTGCAGGGTTTAATAATTTAGCACAAAAATGTAACCACTAGGGAGAAAAATCATATCATTGCAAAACACAAATACAATTACCTTATAGCAGGATTGACGAATATTTCAGTGAAAGGAGCCAACCTGTGGAATGGCCTTCTTGGAGATATGAAGATTGACTAGACTGTCAAAGCAGCAGCGAGGCCATGTCATATGAAATGTATCACAGTGTATGTGTGTATAGACGGCAACATTAATCCAGCAGCTTTAGAAAGACCCAGGAATGTAAAGAAATAGCATCATGAAGACTAAGAAACAAGGGGTAGATCATAAGGAAAGCTTTAAAAGCAGGACGTAAAACAGCTTCCTAATCTTTGAATATGCCATAAATCTCTGTTTCAATGCATCTAGTTAGAACAGTTCTTTAAACTGGACAAATACAAGGAGAGGAGCATCAATCTAAACTGACCTCATGGAAGATCTGGAGATCCATCAGTAAGAGGAAATAAACTGCAGACAAGAAAACTATTCACTGTGCACAGTGTTATCTTTTGAAAGGGTGAGAAGAGAGCTGTCCTGTTTGCACTTTGCAGGTAACATGGGTAAAGACGTCTTGGTGACAGACCGAAGCTAATCTTTTTGATCTTGTGTGAAAAACATGGATAAAAGCACCATTCTACTTCACTAAAAACACCACTGTCACAGAGTAACATGGTGGGGATAGTATGATGCTGTGGGATTTTTTTTCCAATGCCTGTGGTATGGAAAATCTGCCTAAAACGCTGGCATACATTAAGTACAGATAAGTTGTGGGTACGCTTTGTGTAAGTTATGAGCACGCTCAAGCAGGCCAACATACAGCGAGTACGTATGCCTGCCTATGCCATATGTGGGCCAAAAGTACAGGTAAGTTATCAATCGTTGACATACGTTAAGTTCAATTTGTTCATAAATCATAGAGTCCAGCTTATCCAAACCTATGAGTAACTTCTCCAGACTGCATCCCCATCATAATGTGTGCGTGAAGGTGAGTGTGTTAAATCTCCCTGCGTTCACATCCATGACCAACAAACTTCTGAGAAGACATGACTCTGAATCTGCTGCGACTTCTTTCTTTTTATTTATTCTGGGTTTTTTTGGGGGTGGGCAGATTGCTGCCCTTGAGGGGACCAACAATGCATCTGAGGGGAGCAGCTTTAACTGATGCTGCTGAAGCTGCGTATATATATATATATATATATATATATATATATATATATATATATATATACACGCCCAAAAATCAAAAGAATATACATATAAAGTTTAGCGTATGCCAGCGTTTTAGGAGATTCTGGGACGTTGGTCATATGCTGGCTAAATCAGCAAGTTGTGACAGGGCCCTTAGAGGATGCAGAAGGTTTTAATTAGAGATTCACCCTCCAATAGGACGCTAAACAGTTTTCTGTAATAGATTGGCCCATTAAAGCTGAAGGGGGAATCCACTTGAGAATTTTTTGCATGACTTCCAAATAATGTTCACAAATACGACCCATTCAGTCTGACAGAGCTTCTCTACTTTGCGAAGAAGAGCGGGTAGAACATTTCAGCGGGTAGATTGCTTACATAGTGCAGCAACAGATGTTTCTACAAAGTATGTTGCTCAGGGTTGAATAGAAATGTATGCTAACATTTTCAGATCATTCTTTGGTTAAAAAGTGCATACCCTGAAATCGATGCCAACTGTAGAGATGAAACTTCCAGCTAAAAAGGCTCCATCCTTAAAACGAACCAGCAGACAGGTCTTTCCCACACCTGAGTCCCCCACCAGCATCACCTACAGCAGACACACAGAATATTATGGTTATTCACTTGATAAACAATGATTTGCCTTGATTAGACATAACATTTAAAATACTAAAAAGTTTCAAGGGTGGCATCTTGATGCAGATAGATGCTGTACAGTTGTTGATTTGGGATTTATAATCAATATCACTCACTACATGCATAATGCACCGGCATTCCCTTTGAAGCCCATTATGATAGTCTCTGATTTGCATTTTACACTTCTAATCATCTGCATGTTCTGCCATTCCTGTTTATCATCATCGAGTTTATCAAATGCTAAAACCCTGTACAGATGTTTAAAATCAACACTGCTGGCTTCATCAGACAAAAACATTCATGGCTCTCACTAGAAGAGTTCCCATAATATTACATTTTAAAAGGGTGAATGGACTGGTGATCAGTGCAGGCCTTGATTGACTTTTGTCTGATAAATGCTGGGATTAGAATGTGCCCCCCCCCCCAACAAGCTGTTGATGGGACTAAGGGTTTTAGGAAATGAATGTCTGAAAGGGTATAGCTGATTTATGTGTTAGATTTGTTTAAATGCTCGTTTTGCGACTGAGTAATAGTTTAAAGCTCAAATATCTGGGTATTTGCAATTGGCAGCAGCAGGTTTGGATCAGTGGTTCTTCAGCGAGCACCAACCTAGGACTAGTCTGTGCTTTTGGGTTATCTATCTCTACAACAGGGTTCATATTGATGCACGAACACACTTGGCATAGTTTGTGTACTTCCTTTCTTCTGAAGTAAAACATGTGACATTTGAGGTTCATTTTCATTAAGTAATGCAAAAATAATACTAGTAACAGCTTAGTAGGTGATGTTGATAGCCTGCACCCCCCCCAAATGTTGCTGTAATTGATAAGAATGAATAGCTTTGCCCTGGTAGATAAGACCGGTGGATTTGCACACATCAGAAGTTAACCAAATTAAATTAGGGCCCATCAATCTGTGCACATCTCCTGTATACCCCACCTGTACCCACTGAAGCCCCCATAGAACCAATGTGTTTTTATTGGAATGAATTCCAATACCATTTACCTGCTGAATGAAGAAACTGGTTATTAACCATTAGAGAGTAGTTCTTCAACAGGGGGTCCGCGACCCCCAGGGGGTCCGTGGAGGTACTGCATGGAGGTCATGAAAGTTTTGGTCAATTCGCTTTTTTTTTCTTCTTCATATTCCCCCCTACAATTTTTTACGCTAATTGAAACCATAAATTCAGCACACTGTAGTAATTAGATGAATGGAGGCTGAAGATGTCTTTCAGTCATTAATGCACACATTCAGCGACACACAGGAGCTCTTTCAAGCTGGGCACCGTTTCATTCACAACACCTGTCCCATCAACCAGGAATCAGAAATACTTTAATAATCCCAAAGCAAAATTATTTTCATTACATGACTCCATCTGTAATAGAGGGACTATTGTACCAGTTTGATAGAACACTATTTCATACAATATCTATAATTAAGGGGTCCCCGCTGCATCTCGCCATCAGTTTGGGGGTCCTTGGCCTGGAAAGCTTTGAGGACCCCTGCAATAGTAAAAATTAAAAATGCTTTTTTTTATTCTTAAAAAGGTAGACATTATTTTTGTCTCACTTCTCCAATTTGCATTAATTTCTTTTGAATTATATGTAAAATCTTTAAGATATGTGGTTCATGCAAATATGTAAACAAAAAATGTGAATCTGGACAAAACTATCTCCTTTCTTTACAGAGGAATGGAAAATTTAGACGAGTGGTGCATTAAAAAAATTGAAAAAACAACCAAATTTATGTGCATATTATGGGGATTAAGATATATGATGATGGTGAGCCACTGCGGGCTGTAGAGGTGCAGTAAACATATTTTATAAGCTGGACTCCTCCCGCTCTGCAGTTAATTGATCTCATTAATTATGGAAACCCGTCTCCATCATCCTCTCTGGGTTATTGCGCTGGACTGTGGCGCATTAAACTGAGATTAAGCTGCAAAGACGGCATTCATCTCTCCTAAACCAAGGAATACCAATGGCTGATCATGTTTTAGCGCACGCAAAAAAAGAAACAAAACAAAAAAAACAAAAAAAAAAACAGATTGACATGAAAACAATCGGAATAATCAATTTAGATATTAAAAATATAAAGACAGCGGGAAATTAAAATATACGATATAAAGTAAATTGAACTTGTTTTTACTCCAAAGGAGTAAATTAATCAAGCAAAATAAATCTAAACAATTTGTGTTTAACTTTCTGGTACAATAACAGCTTCCATATGTCAGCATTATAAAATGAAAATGCCAAGTATTATTTCCTTAAATCATTTTTACACATTATAACGGATGTTTTAAAGGTAAATGGAACCTTACAGGGAATAAAAGCCGTCCGCGTGAAGCTTAATTAGTGGAATTTACAGCTGGAGAAACTCGCACGTGCTCCGAGACTGGCGCTTTTCCCAGCGCGAGCGTTCCTGGTGGCTTTAAACCCTCAGCAATGCTCACCTTAAAGGCGATGTCGTAAAACTCGCCGCTGTTGCTGATGGAGGGTCTGCTCGGGTAAACCAGCGCGGAGGACGGAGCTCCAGCGGCGGCCAGTCCCTTTGCTGTCCGCCCGCTGCTGGGAGACGGCTTTGGGCTCTTAGAGCTCCCTTTACCCTTCGCTGCCTTCTTTCTTGACATGACTCTAGGAGACCGAGGTTAAACTTGTAAAGTTCGAGCGAAGAGAAACGTGAAGTTTCTGGTTTTCTAGAGAAACAACACACACTTTCCCCGCGTTAAGTTGTATCTGCTGCGCTGTTGAGGAAGGAGAAGTTCACCTGTGCGTCAGAATCATGGATGGACGTAAAAAAGCGTCATAGCTCTGAGGAGGAGCAGCTGCTTAATTACTGTCTTTGCCCTGATGAGGGTCTGTAGACCCAATGCCAAAAAATACACTTGAAACAGAAAACTATGAAGAGTCTTTAAGGTTTTTATTTATAAGTGTTTATTTCAATACCAGAAAGCAGCTCGTTAATTAATGTGAACCAACATCAGGTACATACTGTAGCGGCGGGTAGAAGGTGCATTATTTTGGGACACAGTTTTGGTTTGTTTGGTTATTTCCTTGTCATTCTGTTTGGTTGTTGCTCATATTGTCTAATGTTTGCATTTGCCTCAGTTGAAGGTGTTGTGTGTGTGTGTGTGGGGGGGGGTGTTAAGAGCATGTGAGTTTCTGAGTGATAAGGCTGTTGTGTTTACTCAAGTGTTGTGCCGCACCCTTAACTGAAATTGAAGGACAAATAATTACCTTAATAACACTAACTTACTAACTAATTAACTAACTAACCAACTAACCAGCCAGCCATAAATCAATCAACCAGTCTTGATTGTGTGTTACACTTTTCAAAGTTAAAATACTATAAATTAATATTCCCTCTAAAAAAAAAAACTCAAAAATGTAAAACTAAACTACTTTAAATGACATTTCAACATATACAAACTATATTAATATATACAAATCAAATATTGATTATTCCAAATGTTTTACTATAAACAAATCAAATTTGTTCTTGAAAGTGTACATCTTTAAAATCAGAAACCATTTTGTTTATATAAAATAAAGTAGGGTCCACAATACATAATTTAACTTACTTTAATATACAAATACTTGCATATACTGTAGGCCAGGGGTCACCAGTATGGTGCCCTCAAGGACTTCATAGGGGCCCCTCAGTCTTCTGAAAACAACATCTCATCAGTGGGCTGTTTGAAATGTTATTTTATTCTGTTGCCCTCATATCATTTATAGAGCATTTTAATATTGACAAAGTCTAAAATAAAACCAGGAATTAAAAGAAGCAATAAAAATATGTTTATAATGTATAAAGTTTAGGTGAAGGCTGACCCTTGCAGTTCATGTGTCACATTGGTAACCCTTCCTATGACTCAGTACCGTTAAAGTAGCCCTGAGCCTTAAAAAGGTTGGGGACTCCTGCTGTAGGCTATTAAATGTTGGCATTTCAAAACTAAAAATGTCCTTAAATTAAGGTATAATGCAGGATGTTGTTTTTCTGGGTGGATCATCAAAATAAGTGGTCCTCCTAATTGTCAATCATTCTGGTGATGTTTTGGTAAGGCTGTCCCACGTTCTGTGTCTAAAGGTTAGGGATTACTTCCCAGCCTGAATGAGAATACGCTATACAGTATGTCAGCCATCGTCATTATGGAAAATACCCAGGATCAAAATTGCACATGAATATCTACTCATGCTGTAATTTGTACTGGAAAACTGGAAACATTTGCATCATTAAGCATTCTCCCTTGTTGTGTTTATAGCCTACACAATGCTTTAACATATATACACTCACCGGCCACTTTATTAGGTACCCCATGCTAGTAACGGGTTGGACCCCCTTTTGCCTTCAGAACTGCCTCAATTCTTGGTGGCATAGATTCAACAAGGTGCTGGAAGCATTCCTCAGGGAGTTTGGTCCATATTGACATGATGACATCACACAGTTGCCGCAGATTTGTCGGCTGCACATCCATGATGCGAATCTCCCGTTCCACCACATCCCAAAGATGCTCTATTGGATTGAGATCTGGTGACTGTGGAGGCCATTTGAGTACAGTGAACTCATTGTCATGTTCAAGAAACCAGTCTGAGATGATTCCAGCTTTATGACATGGCGCATTATCCTGCTGAAAGTAGCCATCAGAAGTTGGGTACATTGTGGTCATAAAGGGATGGACATGGTCAGCAACAATACTCAGGTAAGCTGTGGCATTGCAACGATGCTCAGTTGGTACCAAGGGGCCCAAAGAGTGCCAAGAAAATATTCCCCACACCATGACACCACCACCACCAGCCTGAACCGTTGATACAAGGCAGGATGGTGCTTTCATGTTGTAGACGCCAAATTCTGACCCTACCATCCGAATGTCGCAGCAGAAATCGAGACTCATCAGACCAGGCAACGTTTTTCCAATCTTCTATTGTCCGATTTCGATGAGCTTGTGCAAATTGTAGCCTCAGTTTCCTGTTCTTAGCTGAAAGGAGTGGCACCCGGTGTGGTCTTCTGCTGCTGTAGCCCATCTGCCTCAAAGTTCGACGTACTGTGCGTTCAGAGATGCTCTTCTGCCCACCTTGGTTTTAACGGGTGGTTATTTGAGTCACTGTTGCCCTTCTATCAGCTAGAACCAGTCTGGCCATTCTCCTCTGACCTCTGGTATCAACAAGGCATTTCCGCCCACAGAACTGCCGCTCACTGGATGTTTTTTCTTTTTCGGACCATTCTCTGTAAACCCTAGAGATGGTTGTGCGTGAAAATCCCAGTAGATCAGCAGTTTCTGAAATACTCAGACCAGCCCTTCTGGCACCAACAATCATGCCACGTTCAAAGTCACTCAAATCACCTTTCTTCCCCATACTGATGCTCGGTTTGAACTGCAAGAGATTGTCTTGACCATGTCTACATGCCTAAATGCACCGAATTGCCGACATGTGATTGGCTGCTTAGAAGTTAAGTGTTAACGAGCAGTTGGACAGGTGTACCTAATAAAGTGGCCGGTGAGTGTATATATTCCTTTAAAAATTATATCACCATTTAATTTCTTTTTTTAATGACCGTTATGATTTAATTTTCTCAGATGCTCACTAGCAGTCAGCTGATGCATGTGATGCATCCTCTTCTTCCTGGAGCAGATGAATAAGGAAGTCTTGCCCAAGTAGGAGGTCAGGATAACAAAAGCACTTGAACACAACACGCTGGTAATTTCCACTTAATAACTGGAAAGGATCATCTTTAGCATGCCACATGAAGTCAGCATGAGTTGATTGAAATCTTTTAGGAGCCGTCCAATGCATGCGCTATTATTATTTCCGTAACCATGACCACAAAAGACATGCTCTGTACAGCATGGCTGACTCATTTCTCAAACATTTACAGTGAGTGTTTAAAGGAAAATCTGCAGATAATTTTCTACTCAGTCCATTTAACATATAGGTCTTAATTTTTTTTTATTTATTTTTTTTTACATAATTTGAGGTTCATTCTTAATACAACAGAAGGTATGCTCCTCTTCTGAACACATTTTCATTGCAGGGCACTTTGTTTAAGTCATTTCCTAATCCTACCACATCTGCTTTGACTTTAAGTATAACTGGAAACATCTCAAGCTAAACTGCTTAATGATGAGAAGTGTCTACAACATACAGCAGAGTTTGGGGCCTCAAAAGAGATTGTGGTGAGATAGAGAGCCCAATCTGTAAGCAAACCATTAAAGTCCCATAAAAACCAGATAGAGAGGCTACAGGGAAATGTATTTGCTGTCTGGAAGCGGAGAACACAGCAAACAAGCATGCAGATCTGTTTGGAGGGGAGGCTATAAAAGAAAAAAAAAAACCTTGCTGTGCGATTGATGCATCAAAACCGATGAGGTGGAGGTCATACGGCCATTTCTGACTGCTGCTGCATCAGGGTTGGACTCAAACTGATGGAGGATTACTTTGACCGACTTGTTCTGCTTTTGACTAGATTCATTTTTCATGTTTTACAATTTTATGGTAAGACAAAGATGTCTTCTTATATAAAAACAACTCAAATGATAATATATAAAGTTTCTTTACATCATATTGAAATCTGTATGACACTAAAGTCTAAATCAGGCCCAATTATAGATTTAGGTTACCTACATATTAAATATCTATATGCATGTGCTTCAAATGGATGGGCTGGCGACCTGATCAGGGTTAACCTGCCTGACGGATGGATATATTCATATGAACAATTCCAGCTGGGATCAGACAAATCTGGTTGTTTTATGTCTAGGTTAAAATGAACCCTGGCCTTCTTTAAAAGGAAGCAGGGTTAGATAGTGAGCAGGAAATAATCAGGTAGCCGGTAATTCAGCCATTTGATGCTGATTTGTTTGACATCCCTCCAAGTTACTGCTGCTGTCTCACATAAGAATGTTTTGGATTAACATCACCACCTGCTGAGCTCTTTTGGTACTGCACCCTTACCTAAGGCCTAAAGGTGCTCAAAATGTTTTTTCTTTGCCTTTTTAGACCATGGATGCCCATGAATAATTGATTTGTTTTCAGTTTTTTTATCAGTGCAAATTCTACAAATTTATCTTAATAATCAATATCCAGTTTTTACTTTTCTTATTAAAAAGTTCTTTAACACAACTAGACAAGCAGCAGATTCTAGATCACTGATAGTGATCTAAATTTGTCTCATCAGAGCTGGTCTGTTTCTTTTTGCAAACCCTTTTTGTTCTGAAGACCAACACGATTGTTTTAGTGCATTATAATTTGGGGGCCATTGTGTTTTTAAAGTGAATACTTTAAAAACACATTCTTGCAAGCAGTTTTTACAGCTTTTTACTTGTGGTATTGTGCTTGGGGGGAAAAAAATCTGTTTCCCAGATATAAAAATATTGGCAGGAAAGATTAATCAAATCTTCTGCCTTAATGTGAGGTCGGTCACTTGAAGGGTAAACCATTGTTATGCCATGATTTCAACCATGTTTCCCTCCACTGGTTAAGGAGATTTCAGTCATTCAGTTACTGAGTCTAACATTACTGTTTTTCTCTGTTTTTCTCCCAGGTAAAAAAAACACCAACATATTTCAAAAAAACTTATTTAACAGATTTTATAACAAGGTAAACTTTGACAATCCATTTGTTACTGAAGCATTTATTCATACCACAGAAAGCTAGTTTTCAGCACTGTAATCAGGTTCCAGCTAGAATGGGTATGAGTCCCTCGTTGAGGAAATAAAACAAGGCGATCGCTATCATGGTGGGATTTTATCTTTTTTAATCTTTCACATCTCGATGTTAACTTTCAGGTGTTTCCTCAGGATCTTTTCATAGAAACACAAGTGATCAGAGCAGCAGGCAATGCATGTCAAACTGTAAGCTTAAAAACCTTCACATTGTTTGGGTATCATGAGGTCTTTAATGAGGGAAGGTTTAATTCAGCAGTTCTTGGTCTATGTGATGTCATCAGCAAATAGTGTAACTGTGGCTCCAAACAGTTAAAACCGCTTTACAGTGAAGACCCGTGTCTCAGTCTGTCTTATCCCTTGTGGCTTCAGCTCCTCTTTGATGGGATATGTGGGTGAGGCCAGTTCCTGGACTGGAAGAAGCCTCTGAGTCCTTCCAGGTCCACAGCAGGGAAATAAGCTCCGATGCGTTTTCTCAGCCACCACTTGCCCTGCGCTGCGCTGGCACTGCCCGGTTGTGTGAACTTATACCTGAAGTGTTCCCCTCGAACCCATCTGATAGAAGGACAAAGTAGAAGCATAGAGGTAACATGATGTCACAGATCCATTTGCTTTTGATTACTAATGAGGATCAACTTAGAATAAAATGCCTGGAAGTGAACATCTGTGAGATAGTATAAAATATACAACTTAGTATTTTTCCTTCAGCTCTTACCAGCCTCTACATCCTGCTGAGAAAGACATTCCCACAGCATGACGCTGCCACTATCGTGATCAAACTCAGACTCTTTATACCAGTCAGGCGACATCCAGAGGTTGTTAGGTACTTTGACTGCAGGGTATCAGAGTTCAGACTCCCCATAAGCTAAATAATAATTGTTTCAATTTGTCACAAAAAAGACAAATAATGAGCTGTAATCCATGTTTACCTTAATTTTCGGACTATAAGCCGCACCTGAATATAAGCCGCAGAAGCTAAATTGCATGATTTGTACATATACAAGCCGCACCGGACTATACGCCGCAGGTTTTTTTAATGTTTAATTACCATATGGTTGGTGCACAGAGAGGATTGTCTGGAAAGAAGCAACTGTTTGGGGAAGCTCCTATCTATACATTTCAACACAATTGAATTGAGACAATTCTTCCTGCTGGCGTCTCCAACGTCTCACCATTGACTCGTTGATTCTAAGGTTACGTGCAGCGGTTCTATTTCCTTCGTTTACAGCCAAATTGACTGCCTTTAACTTAAAAGCTACATCATATGCATTTCAACGTTTGTTTTCCATAATGAGGGTGTCACACAAACTGTATTGCGCTCGCAATGTCGGTCTTTCTCGGAGTCCGCCTTCCCGCACGCGCGGCTACTTGTGTGTTGAAGCAAATGTGACGTCGACATGGTGGACGTCACATTTACGTCCATAGATAAGCGGCATTGTTATATAAGCAAGTTATATAAGCCGCAAGGACGAAAAATGGTCAAAAAATGGTGGAAAAGTTGCAGCTTATAGTCCGAAAATTACGGTACTCTCCAGTTTGAGAGAATATATATGCATCTCTCTCTCGCTCTCTCTTTTCTCTATTTAAATAGGTCTGAATTAACTCCTTGTTTGAAACATTTTTTTCAAATACTTGGAAACCCATTACAAATTTTATTTCCGTTTTAATTTAATTTTAGTTTTTTTATTTTTATTTTATATCTGCTCTCTTTTTCTATTATTATTAGAAGAAGACACATCATTAAATAGAAATAAAGAAAAATAGTATTTTTTTTTTATTATTGCAAATGTCATTTATAATTAATTCCACCAGGGGGAGCCTGAAGGCAGAAAGTGATTTGCTCAAAAGAGGTGAAATATGCGTGTGATGCTTGTGTGTTTACCTGGGGGGCTCTCTGCCTTGGAACGGGTTGTAGTCGAGCAGTGAGAGGACAGTGCTGTCATTGGACAGCAGGCGTCCTGCTATGTGGATGATCCACTCGCTCTGCTCATAGGTCTGAACAAACAGTTATTCCAGTT